GTCACAGCCGTTTCTTACATATCAGCATTCAATGAGCGTGTTTAACTGAAAATGTTAAGTCATATTCAAGGTCTCTGGTCTCCCGGGGCAGTTCCACTGACCTGACGTAGAGCGAAATGGGCACCATGGTGTTGAGGACGATAATGTATCCCCAGAAGCTGAGGAAGCCTCTGTAGTCGGAGTTGTGGTTTTTGTTGTCGAAAAGATACCACGCCTTGGAGCCAATTTCCGCGTACCAGAAGCTGTGACCGATGGCCAGACCGGCCGCCACGAGGATGAGCAGAGCAAAGATCTACGGAGATGGAGGACAGCGGGCCGGTTAGAAACATCCAGACATCATTACAACGAGCTAAATCATTCTGCATGCTCTCCCTGAGCACCGACACGGCTGAGGGCCTTCATGGCACTTAAAGGAGGCATAGATTTTTTCACCTAAGCAGCCGTTTAGTGACATGGCGAATACAGGTATCAATAACTGCGACTTACCGTATAAACCATGTAGTTCATCAGCTCATCTATTTTGGTCCTCTTGAACCTGGTTTTGCCACCGTTCCTCATGATTTTGGTGTCAGCCCCTGAAGCAACAAACGTCGGCCATTAATAACCACCTCTAGTTGATCTAAATTGCCATCATCCTCTTGTTTTTTCCAGGTAACTTAAAATCTATTACAGAGTTTATGAAAACTTGGAAAATACGGATTAAAAAACGCATCTCAAAATGGAGGAAATTTCAGTGCTAAGGTGAAAACAAGCTGATCCATATGAAACACTGCCTCTTACCACTATATCCCACTTTCAATAAAGATATTTAAACATTAAAAGACGATGCGATGACTCGGGCTGTTCTTTTCCCCAACTTGGAGATCAAGTTAGGGAAAGATGGGCATCGTGATTAGGGTGCACAGACCTGCGTAGATGACCAGCCCGTGGCACCACTCCGTGTTTCTGATCTTGCAGCCTCTGAGCAACATGTTGTCCAGTTCCAGCGGGTAGCGCTCGCTATCCCACAGCATGGTCCCCATGAACTTGTCCAGACGGTTGTTTGGTTCCTCGCATTCGATTAAGGCTAAAAATAATCGAACAACAAACACAGGAATTCATTTTCATTTTGATCATTTTTTCCCCACTCTGAGCCCAGATTTTGATATTGATCACCATTTATCAGCAAGTAACAATGATAATTGTTCTGAGCAATATTTATCTACATTCTAAGTTTTCAATCCAACACTGAAAACATTTTTTTCTGACAGGTGTGTGTACACAAACACGTGTGTATTATCAACTGATTGGTGGCCGTGCAGTGAAGTGGGCCACTGTGGGCCATGCTAACCCCCAAACTCTGCCAGCTGTCGCTCTGTTTGCAGTCTCTCGTCAGTTGCTCGGAGCCCCATCTTAAACTTCAGGTTGGTCTCTCTGCAACAAGAAAAACACAATACACATGAGACTGAACTCAGACTACCCAGAACACACTAATCAGAGCTAAAAGTAACACCACTCTGCTTTTTCAGGTTGCTCCAATAATAATACTCCTGATTGCATAAAGGATTTGATTAAAGCAATGGATTGCTTGATGCATTTCATAACACAATTTACACTCCCACAGACCCATTAGACACACCTGTGGAAAGATTTGATTAAAAGTATGCTTTCCAACTTAATCACTATGTTTGTGGTCTCTGGCTTCTTCACATATTTACCCTCTTATTATCACTAATTGACTTGTTGACTTTCCCAGCACTCTGGCTTCCCCTCAACATCCAAAAACATGCGTGTTCGGTTAATTGAACACTCTAAATTGTCCCATGGAGCAAATGTTTTTTGGTTTTTTGGAGGTTTGTCTGTCCCTTGCCTCTCGCCCAAAGCCCGCTGGGATTGGCTCCAGCCCCCTCCCCCCAAGCCCTCACGAGGAATAAGCGGTGTGAATAACAGATGGATGGATGGATTTGTTCACTTATCAGATAAAAGACTGACAAAAACTGAAACTTTGAAGCTTTTACGTTTAAAATCAGGCTAATGCAGAATGACCTTATCCCGCCTAAAAATGTCTAGTCCAGGGCTCTTACCCATCCAGTTCCGCTGTCTCCACATAACACAGACTGTTTGGGTTGGAGCTGGATAACAACAAGATGTCAGCCTGATGAGAATAAAACACATTAAAAAAAAAGAAAAAAAAAGAAAAATCAATATGATTCAGGGTAGAATGTGAAATAGCACTTTTACAGAACTTAAAGTCTCTGACTCCACACTGATGCTAAATCTGAGGACTGAGTCTTATGATCCTTTTCGTGGTAAATACGCTGCATAAATAGTTCCGACAGTGTGCAAACATCAAAAAGAACAGTCTGCCATATTCATAACATTAAGATTTGGTTACTTTGCCTTTACAAACATTTTACGATGCAAATTAAGCAAACTTTCAACACCCGGTCTCCACTACGTCTGTTAATCCTTCACTCAGCTTTCAGCAGATAAAGAAAAACTTTTTTCCCACTACAACTTCTTTTACACTGGTTAAGAGGAAACTGAGATGTGAGTACTAAGTGGCCCTCTGCTACATTTCTACTTTTTTGGACAATTTGTGCCCATCACACTTAACTACAAACTACACATAGGGGGAAAAAAATGATTGAACAAATAAGCTACCATACCGGAATAAAGTCGTTTTTCTTGAGGCGGACCACATCTCCAACCTGGATATTCATCCATTTTGACTCCTGAAACCTGAAGCATAAAAACTGTCAAATGCATTTTCACTCATTCATTAATGAGACCAATCAGCATTCGGAGAAAAGGTAATTTCTCCATTTTTAGCTGATCTTCACTGGGTCTCCATCTTAAAATTCTTGAACTGGCTCCAAATGGATATTGAATTTGACTATTAAAATTGTCTGGATCATAGTTGGATTACAGTTAATGCGAATGGCGTTAACCCGAGTCTAACTGTATCTTTGAAGTGAGAAGAGATACAAATAAAAAATACACTATCCTGACCTGCCATCTAACAGGACCTCAGACTTCCTGTTGTTGATCTCTTTATCCATCCTGTGACGTGCCTGCAGGAAAAAGAATGTGATCAGATCCACACTAGTGCCATTCTACTACATTTTACTAAAATAATAATATGATGACTGTCAAGTAATCCAGTGCAGTTTGTAAGTAATGTTGGAAACACCCCGAGCATGTAAATGAAATCATTAACAAGGTCATGACCAGTCTCAAAATTATTGAATAAAAACTGAATCGAATTAGCATGGATCAGCTGCACTCTGCTTTTTTATAAACTCAATCAAATTAAACGGTACATTGTAACATCTTACCAGATCGTCCACCAAGTCTTTTATGGCAGTGACCCCCAACACCACGACCAGAGGAACCAGTGTGGTGTACCAGGGCAGAGTGGAGATATCTGGAATGATCTAGCATACACATATTTTATTGAGTATCTTAAACTTTTTGTCTATGCTGAAAAAATAAAAGATATGCGACTTTCTTTAGATGTACCTGCAGGATAAGCAGAGCCAGGAAGTAAAGGTTGGCTGCTCTCTTAAACTGCTCGTACAGGTTCAGTGGGAGGAAGGTGAGGACGTTGTACTTATATGTCTTAATGGCATTTCCCTGAGGAGACAGAACAAGAAAAACAATGATACACGCATTCCCTTGAATACAGACAGTCTGACCCTAAAAGTCACTAAATGTGCAAATCCCTCTACTCAAAATGGCTGCTGGGCAAAGCATAAAGACAGATGTTGGTGTACAACATCTCTTAATAATGTATTCTTTGAGTTAATTGTTCTTTGAGGTTAATGTAGCATCATGGCTAACTGTGTAAACCAAAGCCTGGTTTGTGGGTCATGAGTAGTAAGACAGATTCATTCCATTAAAAGGATACTCGGTTAAAAGAAGAAATTTAAAAAAATATTTTCTATTCAGTTGTTTGCTACTGTTTAACTTGTATTTTGCACCTTCTGTCCTCAATTCCACTGGCTCTCACTGAGCCAGTAAGGGTGGCCTCAACTGGACGATTGGGTTTCAGCCCCGACAAAAGCTAACGACACTCAACATGGCAAACAAAAACACTTGTGTGTTCACCGGCTGCTGAAAACCACTCCACTGGAGGTAGCCCCTCACAGGGTGGAGATCGTTTTTCCACTCGAGGACTCGATTAACCTCACAGAGGCAGCATCTACTTTTACTCGTTTCACAACCTGCTCTCAACAAAGCAGCAACTATTGAGAAAGAAAACACTCGGCTTATTAAAAATGAACTCTTTTGTGACCAGATGAGGCGAACTGACACGTTCCCCATTATTTGTAAAGGGCGTGACGGCCATGTTTAGGTGTGTATGCTGAGGGCTCGGCTCACATCAGGAGCAGCACGACATGCTTGTGGACAGTTTTGCTTACCGAGTATCTGCTCTTCTTTATGCAAAGGAAAACCTTTTTCTGAAACTCAGGCAACTGGTGATAGGGCCGGTCGTTGGCCTTCACCTTCCAGCCCATTTCTGAAAAACACAAAGTCAAGATTACATTTTTTTGTTTTTTTATTGATGCAAAATATGCCCAATTAAGATACCAAGAGATAAAGAGAGGAACGTACCACTTGGCCTCATGTCCACCGGGGGGTGAGGCATATCAGGCTCTTCTGCTTCGCCCTCTGAGCTATCGTCCAGTTCGTCGTCCGTCTCGTCGTCGCTGTAGGGCATGGCCTCATCATCAGGCCCCACGGAGCCCTGCGACTCTGCCCGCCGCCGACTCATCTTAGCGCTTCAGGTATCTGAGAAACAAGCAAGTAGAGAACATAGGGCAAGGTGTATTTCAAAGTGATTCAAGGAAAAACTTCCTTCAGACAAAATTAATCAATTAAATGAAACTGTGCCTTCCCTGAGCTGGGCAGTGCAAACTCTGCAGAGTAAGACAAAGCTTGTTCCTTTTTTGTGTCAAGTCATCAGAAACACAACTTGACAACTATTGGATAAATGTTCATACAATTATGACCCTTTAAAACAAAGAATTTCAACCATTTTCAATCACTTAAAGTGACTTCCCCTAGCAAACACTGGACGAGAATAAATGTCTACCACGTTGACAGTAATTAGTTGGACCTCCTTTAAAAGATTTAACAAAAGTACCTTCAAGATTATAGATACATCTGCCATAAGATGTGTGCTACAAATAGAACAACAATATGGATTTTAAAAACAGGTTTGGCAGCAGGTCAGGCTGACTCACAACTGCTTCAATAGGGTGAAATGTTAAAATTCCAGTTATAAAAACGGAA